ATTGTGGGTAAAAATGGAGACTAACAGCTGCTTGATTGGTGAAACACATTCCCCATAGGGCAATCCATCCACATCCTCCATAATTTCTTTTAGGACTTTCTATTTTTAATTGCACTGAAAAGACTGAACACAAGGCAATGGCACAGCTGGCTGAAAGTAAATAAACAGTAAGTGTTTAACACTCTGTTGATTTATAGCTGTACATGGGGGGGTATATTCCATTCTGTCATTTCTTTAAGCTTTAGAACTTTCTCAGTGAAAACAATTGAAGTTTTAACTTTGACAAACAATGGACGCAAGATCATTTCCTTCCTACACATATTTTAACATTTCTATATTTATTTCATGTCATTGTATTTCTTAGAAGCCTTACACGCTCATTAATTCAAATTGCTATGTCCAACAATTTTCCTGTTCTTATTACTCAAGACAAAATAAATTATAATTTTAAATGCATTCTGCTAGTTTGTGTTCATATTTTATTTAGTGCATAAACAGATGCACTGCATGATAATTCTGACAAATCTCTCACCAAGTGGAAGAAACATTAAATGCAGTGGCAGACTACATTCTGTGTTCCACTTAGGTGAGGACTACACATTGCTGGAACAGACCATAAACTGTCCTGTAATTACCTTCATCTGGATATTTCTTTGCTCGTTCCTCAAAGAACCATTCACCAGCCTTTACTTTCACATCTCTGAAAAACAAGCAAAAGACATTTGAATAAACAATTTCCAAAGTATGTTTCTTCAAATGTTGGATAACCATTTAACAATCCAACAATCCTTCTTAATCCTACCATAAAACTAGGATTTCATGACTGTTCACTCCATTGACTGATTTTCCTGTGGGCCTGCAAACAAAGGATGCAGATTTGACTCTGGCCTTTTGTTGTCTCCAACTGACTTAGATGAAGTCTGCAATCTGAACTCACACATTATTAGAGAGACAAAAAGATTTGTAACTGAGGAGAGGATTCTCTGGAGTTTCCAGGTTCCCAATTCTCATCTAAATGTCTTACTAATTTTTAGGCCATATACATTATCCCTGTTCCTTGTGGATTTTCTGATGTTTATTATAGGATGAAGTCCTACTGCAAAAATGTCCTCAGTGCAGGCACCACTAAACTTTCTTCTCTGCCCAGTAGTCCATTTTTCTTCTGTGAAATTAATCCCCTCATTACCATTTCCTCTGCCAAAATTGCTTGAAATTGGGAACAATATACAGATAGTAAATTCACATAGAGCTTGCCTCCTTAAGAAAGCAAAATCTCTAAACACGAAAGTTATAGTGATATCCACCAAAGGCCAGGCAACAAAATCCTTGGGCCTACCATTTCACACCTCACCTTACTCTATGTTATAACAGATGAACTATAGATAGAATGCTGTTTGTTCTTTCTGTGGCTTGTTTTTAAGACATTTGCGGCTTACCAGTATCTGAAGGGGGCCTACAGGAAACATGGAGAGGGACTGTTTATCAAGGAGTGTAGTGACAGGACAAGGGGTAATGGGTTTAAGCTGAAGGAGGGTCGATTTAGATTAAAGGTTAGAAAGAAATTCTTAACTGTGAGGGTGGTGAGGCACTGGAACAGGTTGCCCAGAGAGGTTGTGGATGCCCCATCCCTGGAAGTGTTTAAGACCAGGTTGGATGAGGCTTCGGGCAACGTGGTCTAATAGAGGGTGTTTACCCCCAATTTACCCCCCCATGGCAGCAGGGGGGTTGGAACTAGATGATCTTTAAGGTCCCTTCCAACCCAAACCATTCTATGATTTTAGGCATTTGAAATACAACTTTGTAAGTAGCAATGCAGAATATTCAAGAAATTACTACCTGTGTAGACTGATCTTGACGATCAGAGGGCTGGAGCACCTCTCCTATGAAGACAGGCTGAGAGAGCTGGGCTTGTTCAGCCTGGAGAAGAGAAGGCTCCAGGGAGACCTTAGAGCAGCCTTCCAGTACCTGAAGGGGGCCTACAGGAAAGCTGGAGAGGGACTGTTTACAAGGGCATGGAGTGATAGGACAAGGGATAGTGGGTCTAAAGTAAAAGAGGGTAGATTTAGATTAGATATTAGGAAAAAATTCTTCAGTGTGAGGGTGGTGAGGCACTGGAACAGGTTGCCCAGAAAGGTTGTGGATGGCCCGTCCCTGGAAGGGGTCAAGGCCAGGTTGGATGGGGCTTTGGGCAACATGGTCTAGTGGAGGGTGTCCCTGCCCATGGCAGGGGGGTTGGAACCAGATGGTCTTTAAGGTCCCTTCCAACTCAAGCCATTCTATGACTCTATGATTGTACTATTTATTTTCATGCCTAACCATAGATCCTTGTGCATAACTGAACAAAAATGAGTTTGAATATTTGGTTAAAATAACTTTCAGACAGGATACTTATTTACTTTGGATGGAGATCTATTAACTAATAAATGTCTGAGATCTCTGGCTGCACTAAATCTTCAAGGGCTCTGCATTGGTAGTGCCTCGAGTCTCATCTCCAGCCTTGCCTTTATGTTCTTGCCACTACCCACAGTTATCTTCCCAGAGTTTAATCTTCAGTTCTGCACAGGCCATGTGATAAGTAGACCACTCACAGGATGAAAACAGATCTGGAAATACCCTCCTCTTTTTTTTTTTTTTTTTTAGGCTAAAGAGTGTATTAAGGTAAGCTATGACCAAAAGTGACCTCACCGGGGTAAATAAAAGGCACTGAGTAGCATTTACCACACTGCTGCACTTTCTACCCTTCTTGAGATGTGCAGCCTTGATGTAAAGCTCACTGAAGGCAACAGAAGTAGTCTGACTGATTTTAATGGACCTTACATCGTGACTAAGCAAGATCAAATGTGCCGTCTCTTTGCTATAAAGAGAATTTCAATGACAGCTGAAGAATTTCTCTATATTAGCAAGACAAAAAAAGTAATTTCCTCAAGGAAAAGAAAAATGTCTTTTAATTCATTTAAATAGTGCTTTCCTGGTTTTACCATTAAATATCTGGACAAGTTTATGAAATAATTAAGGGTGCACAGCACTATGCAAGGTAGCTCAACAACTAGCTACTCTCTATAGGGGATTTCCATTGTGGCCACCACATAACGGGAAACCAATTTAAAAGAAGAGGAAGTGGAGGGAGGTATCTAGAGGAGGATATGGAAAGTTAACTTTTTAACCTCTGCTTTTACTGCATACAGCGTGAAGCACAGATAGTGAAATATATGCACCAAAATCTAGTAACTGCTTTGTATCAAATATAGATGGAGCTAATCTGCATAATTTATGTATAAATTGCAAAATAAACCAAAGATTCAGAGAACATCTTTTTTAGTGATATAGTCTCTTCCAAACTATAGAAAATTACTTCCAACTACTAGTAGAAACTCATTTAGCTTAAGACCAATACCTTGCCTTACATTTCCCAGGCATTATTTAAATCTCATTTTGCCATCTTAAGAGAGAGTGAAGTAGTGCATTAATCTTGTATTGGCATAAAGTAAAATTTCATCCAAATCCTTACCCTTTGTACAGGGACATATAGTATCCAACACAGCTGTTGATCCATTTCCAAAACTATCTTTCTTTGCCTACATAACATTACTTTTCATCGAAGGTGGAAATATAGCTAAACCATTTGGTTTAGAAAGATTCTGATTAGTAGAATGGACTAGGATGGAGTATTTTGATATTAAAAATATACCAATACAGTAAAAGAAAGATTGTTTCCTGTTTCCTGGAAAACAAAACCAAGGTGACATAGTAAAAGAAAAAAAAACTAATTCAAAGTAAACAAATTTGGATTTCTGATCATATTTAAACAATTCCTGATAATGTTATTAATGCTTTTTGCTTTTTAAATTTATAGAAAACATGACTAAGTTATTCATCAATCCAGGTTCCTCACTCCTGTAGTATGCGGCAAAAAAATAATTATTAGGAAATTGACAAGAAATTGGCTATACTACACCAAAACAAAGCACCTTCAGCAACTTGTTATGATGCCCTGGTTCAGAATTGAGTCAGGGAAGGAGTTCTGCCTACAGTGTGGAAACTAACAACTGTTCCTATCCTTTGCCATTATCATCTTTGTCACACTACTTCTGGCCTACCCTGAGGATCCATTTTGCTAAATACAGGAATGGAAATCCTGACCACACGAAGTATAACACAAAATTCCCATCAATTTCATTGCTACCAGGACTTCATCCAAAATTTTCATTCCACCAAAGGTGCTTTTTTTTTTTTCATTAATTGTTTAAAGCAACAGACACATACAAAACCAATGTGCATCCACTGGATAACCAGCTTAAAGCAGCACTTACCCAAAACAGTAAAATTTCTTACCCATGAGCGTAACAAACGGTGCATTTCCAAACACAGGGATTCAGGCAGATACGGCATTCAGAGCATACTCGATGACTGCACCCATTGCATACTGCACCTCTGTTCATCAATAACCCAAGTGATTTCTGACAGCGAGCACAAGATCTCTCCTGGTATTCATGGCCTACGTTTCTTGCTCCCTTCCACTGAAGCTGCTGCAGCTGCAGTTTCAGTTTCCTAATCACCCAGGTTAAAAAAAAAAAAAAAATTAAAAAATTAAAAAGACCAAAACCCCCATTCACGCTTAGGGCAGGGCACTGAAATTGTGTATGCAAGTGATTATGTATTCACATACAAAGACTGAGACTAAATGGTGGTCCCTTTCATTTGATGATATTTTTTATCGTATTTATCCAAGAATCAAATATTCTATCAAGTAGAAATAATCGTAACAAATACATCATCTAAGAGTTAAATAAAAAACACATCAGACCAAAATATTGAAGCCTCTCCCTTAACTTTGTTTCCATCACATGTACCAATAATCAAGATCTATGGTTCTGTTAGCTACATAACCAGTTGTCAGGGATTTTCTGACCAATTCAGACTTTATTTATAACCCTTTATTTACTTTTCACAATCATTTAATATGTCCAGTAATACTTACATAAATGTTTGCTGTAAACAAAGTTTAAATTTCAACATTTAAGAGACTAAAAATTTCTAACTTAGCAACACAAGTACCCTGCTTTACATGGGAATGCAATGTGACAAAGCAGGGTACAAGCTGCAGGGAAATCTTTGCTCTGTCCCTGATATAAAGCTAATAAAATGCTGGAGTATTATCCCTTATCCTTCACAACTGAAATACTTGCATAGTATGAAATAATTAAATAGAATCTTTTTTCTAACCAATGACACCTATTGGCATTACTAACAACCTCCAAGACAGCGTGGTGTGCTTGCTACCTGTTGTATGTGAGAAGGGATAGTGGTAGATTCAGCACAATGAGCAGGTACCTAATGATTCTTAACTCCAGTTTGTCACAACAGAAGTTAAATAAGCCAGCCAAAGATCTGAATATGTTCTGTGTTACCAGGGCTATATAGGCATACATAGGAGGATGATAAGAATGCCATAAAGCCTTCATAGGAAAAATACAGGCAGCAGCTGAACTTTCTATTTAAGGCTAGAATTAAAATTCATCAAGTAGATTATTCACTGAATAGTATTTACTCATCTTTACTGTAGTATTTGCTCATCTTTACTGTAGAGTAGTGAATAGTAAAAGTAAATCCAAGAGGCTCTGGATAACCCTTAGTTTTCCCAAAGAATAAAAAGGCATTAGCTAACAAGAAGTTTAAAAAAAAGAAAAAAAAGAAAAAAAAAAAAGATACACTTGGAAGGATGGCAAAGAAGAAGAACTTCTGAGAAAAAAGGAACAGAAATACAGGAACAGAGGAACTACAGATACCTTATTCTTTCCTCCTCTGTTTTTCTCACCATCTGGTCACGGTACAGGACTTCCAGGACAGCCTCTCGTTCCAATTCCTTCAAGAAGTTTAGATTAAATTCACTGGCCATTTTTGCCAAACTTCACTTGTTTTGTAGATTCCCGTCCTATGGTTCTACTAGATCCAGAATGATGGATACAACTTTTATAAAGTCTAATGTGGTCTGAGTGTTTACTAAGTGCCTGTGCTCTTACTTGATTGGTGCTACGTTTCAGTGTGTCATACCCTTGAAGAGAAAAATAACCACGTCTGTCTTCACACAAGTCATCATTTAAGAGTCTCTGCTACCCAGGGAATATGAACAGTTAGCAAGGTCACAACAGGCTTGTCTTTTTCACATGAAAGAACTTCTTGTTCTTTTCTTTTTTTTGCTGAGAGTGGTTGAGAGCTTGCAGCAAGGTCCCCCAGACAGGGCTTTAACTCTCACCAGACAGAGGGACAATTCACCAAGAGATGGTGTAAAGGAGTGGGGGGAATGTTTTTTTCATTTGGTCTTGTAGATGTGGGATTTCTGGGCCTAGGGGAAAAAAAAGAATACATGTTATTATCTCTTCTCCTTACCTCTTCAAGACATTTCAAATAGTATGTGAAGACCACATTTTGCTATACTCAAACCTTTCATGCACTAATTCAGATACAGCAGAGGTTTTAAGACAATTCTGTTCTTCAGACAGTGGCACCATATTGTCCCTTAACACTCAGCCATGTACCTTCACATTTTTGTACAGTCAACATTAAACAACCAATAAAGAAGCTTAAGTTAGTTTTGAACACAGGCCTACAGGCCCCACGACTGAAAAAGTCGTACTGGGTGAGACAAAAATGCCCCTTTCTGATCTCATCTTACTGAAAAGACAAAACATTACAAGCCTAAGAGGAAAGGGGGAAAGACACCCACTGAGAGTCACTGCTACAGATTACCTACGTCTGTTAAGTCTAGATAAGCAATTTAATACCCAATAATGCTATTATCGTTGTTAATACACACAAACATGAAAGAGTTAAGATAATATATTATTTCCAGCTCAGTGCGCTAACAATTTTGACCACAAACTGATGATGTTAATGTACAAATATGAGAAGCATAAAATTAAAACAGAATCACAACTGTATTGGGGATATACTCTGTGATCTTCACTTTTGTAAAACTCCCACTAAAACAGAAAATAATTTTAATATACTTTGCAGTGACGTAGAGAAAGAAAATGATTATTCAATCCAATTCAGGTTACACACCATATTCGGTTTTAATACTACTGTCTAGGATGTATTACAAGAAATGTAAGAGAGTTCCACTGATGGTACACCAAATATTAAAGATGTGTACATGAAAACTGGTTAAGTGTTTCAAACTTAATCTGAACTAAATACATACAGTCAGGCTCTAGGCAGTAGGTCTAGACACAGGAACTGGATAAAGCCTTCCCAGAGCCATTACTGATGCTTCACTGATGGACCTCAGCTGAGAATCTGACCAACTGTCTGTATTGCTGGATCGTTATTTTAAAAATACTGTGAGTTTTAAGTTTAAAAAAGAAAAAGAAAAAAGGCAAAAAACCCCCTTGAGATATATAGTGACAATGGATTTTTGTCAGTGCAGGGAATTACTTTACATACAGCTTGTCCCAATTAAGTTACTTAATTTCCCACAAAAAAAAAAAGGCAAAAAACCGCCTTGAGATATATAGTGACAATAGATTTTTGTCAGTGGAGGGAATTACTTTACATACAGCTTGCCCCAATTAAGTTACTTAATTTCCCACAAAAAAGCAGGTGGTGATAATTTGTATTTATAAACAGTATTTATTCCATTCTTTTACATTTTTTTGTGAAACCCTTCAATAGACATCAAAAGGACAAAGCATTTCACAGAAGCAATGTTAACAAAGAAAAAAAAAAAGATTGGTTTCCTGTGGAAACGAAAAAGAGAGAGATAGGCATAATCATATTTTATTTCCTTACCAACTGCAATTTCACAGGAAATTACTCAGTTGAAACCTAAAAAGCCTGAGCAATTTTTTAGCACAATATATGTCATTTTCAAAGGCCCCTGCATGCTTCACCTGCTTTCATTTTTTACCTCCAGATACCTCCCAGGATTGATGAGCATGTTTAGAGCCTTCAACTCCATCTAAGTCAATACAATCTGAAAGTGTAGTCAGCACAAACTCGGGGACCTCTGCACTATACAGGATACCAAAACACCCGTTACAGCATAAGTTATGCTTTCTATAAACTCCTAGGATTTCCAAAGGCTAGCA